CAATGCCCAAGGGATTAAATGCAGCTGTAACACCAGCAGTCTAGCTCTTGCAGTTACGGTAGAGAGAGGCCTCTAGCCTATACAGACACTGAAGGCACAGCTATTGCCTCTGTCCTTCCTTTATTCTTACTTCAATTCAATACTTTATTGCCATAAACACTAGTTGCATCAAATTCGGTTCGGTGAGTTCATACAATTAAAGACATACAATACAATTATACAACATACTTCTTGAACAAGTGGCAACAATTTTTACATAACCACCTCGTTCTCTAACTACTGATTTCAGAGTTAAACTATTGAGATTTCAGAGCTGTAATCTTGTTTAGCATTGCATTGTTTCTTGTAAAACGCTGGCCTATAAACATTTTCTTTGTCTCTGGTTAATCATTTTCCCAGACTGTAACTCTGAAATCTAACTATACTTTGTCTGTCACCGGTAAATGTTCTGTTGTACTTTTTACAACTGCTTCTAGCAAAGCACTTTGAAGTGGCTTTTGCTACCAAAAAGCTATTCTAAAAATAAAAATCGATTAATTGACAACAATAATCAGAAACACTTTGAACTCGAACAGGTAAAAATGTATTGTTAAAAATGTCATGAAATGTATTGTTTTTGAATTTACCAGGACTCAGTTCCTAGCACGGAACATACAGTGCCTACAGAAAGTTAATACCACATTCCAAACTCACATATTTTGTGGCCTAATAGCTTGAAATCAAGACACGTTAAATCAGAATTTATTTTACCTGTATTTAAGCGTTGTAACACAACCTCTAAGTGAAAAACAAGTGTTCCAACATTCGGGAAAGTAATTACAAATAAAAACCTAGAAAATGGGTGAGATAAGTGTCCACACCCCTCAGGAACAGCAATTGTAAATTAGCTCTGGTGGAACCAATTGCCTTTCAAATCACACAACGAGCTAATAAGTCTCCACCTGTGTTCAACTGTAGTGAGTCTGATGATTTCAGAATAAAACCAGCTGTTCCCGTAGGTCTCCTCTGCTGGGTAGTGCTTCTCATAATCGAGAGTCAACTATGGGCAACAAAGAGTTTGGTAAGAAGAAAGCCAATGCTCAAAAAAGCCCACAATGAGTCTCGCTGGAGGTATGAAAAACAACAGTGTGGAGATTGTGAAGCTAAATTTTGCGGCCTGATGAAGCCAGAATAGATGTTTTTGGGCTAAATGCAAAATGTTACATTTGACAAAAACCCAATACAGCCCATCCCCCACAGAACACCAACCCTACTGCAAAGCAAGGTGGAGGCAGTATTCTGTTATGGAGGTGTTTCTCTGCAGCAGTGACCGGGGCACTGGTCAGGACTGTAGGGAAACTGGGCGGAGCAAGGAAGCTGAAAGTGGGAAGGAAGGTCAGCCTGAAACATGAACTCGACCCCAAGCACACAGCCAAAGCAGCAGCATTGCTAAAGAACACCAAGGTAAATGTCTTCATGTGGCCCAGTCAGACCTAACCTCAAGCCGACTGTAAACCTGTGGAATGGCTTGAAGGCTGCAGGCCATCAACAGTCCACTCTCAATCTGACTAAGCTTGAACAGTTCTGTGAGGAGGAGTGAGCAAACACTTCCAAATCTTGGTGAGCTACATTGGTACAGACCTATTCGAACAGAATTGTGGCTACAATTTAAGAAAACGGTACTTCCATAAGGTACTAACTCAGGGATGTGTTCATTTACCAAGACCATTTTTTTAGGTTTACATTTGTAACTAATTTTCAGAATGTCTGAGCATTTGTTTTTCAAGAAGATGATCACTTTACTAGCCATATACAATTTCTTACATTAGGAATTTGTCTTTTCGCATACTCCAACTTGCTCTCCATGAGACACACAGACACAGATAGGTAGAGAGAAGCTTGGGGTCAGAGCACAGGGTCAGCCATATTTTTATACAGCGCCCCTGGAGCAGCTGGGGTGAAGGGCCTTGCTCAGGCGCCCAACGGAGTAGGATTCCTCAGCCACAGGTGCAGATCCTTAGCCACAGTGCCCCCGCTCCACCCTTTTCATTGGAGGGTTTGTGTTACAATGTGTAAATACAAGAAATAAAGAAATTCTATTTAATGTGTCTTGATTTCAGACTGCCAGGCCACAAAATGTGTAAGAGTGTGTAGACTTTCTACAGGCACTGTTCATGTAAGCCTCAGAACTTGGAGACAATCTGGAGGCGAGCTGCAATGCTCAATGCTGTGTTACTGCCCAGGCACAACGAGATCGAAAATATCAACTTTAAAAGAAAGGTCACAATCAACATTGAAAAAAAAACAACACTGGATCTGCAAGCCAGGCCAGACACTTACGTGCAGGTCCTGCTGTCCCGTGACCATTTCTTGATCTGGGAAAGCTTGTTGATGAGGAATATGCCCTTTCCCTGGGCTTTCCCACAAGGTTTCATTATCCATGTGCTGGAAGGGTTTTTCCTGAACTCCTCCACAAACAGGTTGTAGTCAGCAGGGAGCATGAAAGTCACCGGTACAAAATCTAGCAAAGGACACAGTGGAGACCAGCAATTGAAAGTCTTGTATGTTTGCTAACTTCACATTGCTACAACTTCACAGTGCTGCATTCTTCAGCAAATATATTATTCTTTTTCCAATGCAACCAGATACAGCATCAAATAAGCGAACAAGCACGTTACAAAAATGTCACGGCCCAGACAAAGTATGGAATGCCATCCCAGTCCCTTCTAAGAACCCGTGCACACAGCTCTCATGAAAGCTTTACAAGAACAGGATGAGGAAGCTATGAGAAAGACTTCTGGTATTTACAGTATGTGCACACATCATTGTCATCTTCAAGCCTAGACAATATTTTGGAGCAATAAAAAGTTAATAAATGAAATTTAGAGTATAGAATTTTAAAAAAGACATGCTATGTTAAACTTTCATAAAATAAAACTGCCTTTTGAATTTTGTGCATCTTGAAGATATTGACCATCTTGATTTAAAAAAAAAGATATCACGGCTTTGGAACCAGTCGAGTGAAGAGCACCCAGACACCTTTGGACTAACAAACTACAAGAACTGAATCTTTTTCATTTTGAACTGAGAAGACTACAGGGGAACCCGATTCATGTATTTCTAATCTTTAAAGGCACTGACAATGGATTTCTTCAGAATCAGCACCCGAACATGAACCCACAAGACACAAAAAGGGTCACTGGAAAGAAGTTCATTGAAAACTAAGGACAGAAGGTACTTTTTCAATAAAGGCCTGCTGAGTTTTGAAAAAAAAAAAAAGCTACCCAGTTATGTTATCAAAGCCTATGCCCTGGCTTCTTTCAAAAACTGTCTGGATAAGATCCTCAGATTAATTAGCTACTAGCAACCAAACAAGCTAGATAGTAGCTACTAGCAACTAAACACGCTGGATGACCTATATGACCTCCTCTCCAGGTCTTTTGTAACCTTGCTTGTGATTAAGTGTGACTCAGTGTGCCGATCTGGCCCAGGCCTATGCAGCAAAGCCCTTCACCATTTCTGTTAGCTTTCCCCTTGACTGCTGCGCGCACATGGCCTCAGAGAGAACTGGCGTGTGTTTTCCCAGTCTGGGTGTGCTTACCTAAGTAAACATATTTGCCATTTTCGTCCTTTTCAGCGAGAGGGCTTCCTTCCTTTTCCAGCTCCTTCCTGTACCTCTTGATGTTTTTGACCATGAGGTCTTTCCTGGTGAGCTCGTAGTGGTTGGGGAAATGGTTGACGATCTGGTCGTCTGACAGGCGGTAGCCATTGTCCACACTGAAGACATTCCTGATGGTCTGGACGCTCATCCTGGGACAAAAGGGGAAAAGAGAGAGTGGCCCATAATTAACTTTGGGAACCCAGACTAGACTCTTGAGCACTACTACGTTCGTGTTCTAATGTAAAACACCCTGCCAGAGCAGGAGCATCCTCAGCTTCATCATCATCCCCATCATCACGTTCTAACTCGCTCCTGGTGGAGGTCGCGGTGTTAAAGGGCTGCGCAGGGCCGACCAGACTGTCTTTCCCCAGCAACAGCCTCCAGCTCCTCTTGGGGGGGGTCCCCGGCTCTCCCGGGCCAGCTGAGGGACTGGTGACAGACGGTGTGTCCTGCGTCTGCCCAGTGAGCCTCGCATCCGAAACCACCTCAGCTCCCCTCGATCTCCTTGTTTTAAAATTAGTAGAATTTAGGAATGTGCGCAAGAACCGAACGCGAAGAGCATCCGTCTTGTTCTTTGACAAGAGCAGAGAAGAACCATCGGGATGACTCAACAACAGGTCTGGTTCAGCTCTTCACTCCGCGCGGAGGTTAATGGACTCCGTTAACGGACTGTGTCAGAAAGTCACTGGTGCTGATCGTCGGGCCCCACCCCAAGTCTACCAGTGTTGCATAAGGCAGATTCCTTCCTAGAGAACCCTTCACACCCTCTGTTTAATGAATTCCAATTACTCCCCTCAGAAAGCAGACACAGATCTGCCCGTTTAAAAACGAGCAGGTTTAAGTTCTCGTTTTTGCCTGTGGCCATAACACCCCTCAAGTTCAAGTTTATGCGTTTTGTGTGTGTGTCTTTATGTCTGCAGCTGTAAAACAAATTTCCCTTTGGGGATAATAAACACACTATCTCTTATGACATGTGTAATGCCTGTAACTGCCCGAGAAAGTGTTTTTAAATAGCCTTACTCACCTTTTTTGCGATACGTTATTCCTTAAAAAGTACATTATGTAATGCGGATTCAGACACAACATGATGAGACAAGTTCCAGATGACCAAATGGACCATAAACACAAGGCTGTAACATAATGGGGTCAAGTGCTTTCATAGTTCACACCAGGTACAGTCATCCCTGGTCCAGACTGAAACACTGCAATGTGTGCGTGTTATAGCCAATAGCCAAAATCCCCCTTTTTGGATACATTCAGAATGTTATGACTTAAAAAGCATATTATTTAATGTCGTTTCTGACACCATGAGATAGACAGTACAGTACAGTTCCAGACCACCATCTGTAAACCACAGCTCCTGGTTCCTCATGCAGCTCAGACTGAAAGGCTGCATTGTGTGTGTGTCGCAGTCTCGTGCTGTCAGGTAACTGGCTGACTGAGCTCTGGATTAAGTACTTCATCCTGAAGTGTAGATTAAGTGCAAGGAAAACCAATGTCCACTGATTTCGTAGCTCAGCTTCCACTGAATTCTTGACCTGGGTTAGTAACACTCTGTCTGTGCCGTCCCGCTGTTTTTAGGCCTTCACTGAAATAAATCACCTTGTGCAAGTTTCACTGAAACATTCAATGCATTTAACTCCTTAATTAGAATAATGGCTCCAGTACATCTTCATGTAACACAGACGTTAAATCTTAAACAACAGGATTCACTCCAAACCCAGAAAGTCTTTTTAAATTTCTCTCAGGACTGTTAGTGTTCTTTCAGCACTGGGTTGGGCTGGACCTCAGCAATAAGAGTGTGGCACATAGTTTCAACTCACAGGCCTTTCCATCCATGCAACATATGCACAAACAGTCCCACATAATTAACTGTAAGCTATTTTAGAGTGGTTCAGAGCTATAGAGAGGCATGTATATTAAAAAGACAGATTCAGTAAAGAACCCCCAACGTCTGAACAATGGATGAGTGTTGGGAATGAGACCTCTTGGCAAAATCTGACAAGTCCGGATTAAATTCATGACCCCTTTTTGATTTGATTTTATTCCGTGAAAGAAGATGAAGCAATCTTTTTGTGTGCATTATTAGCCATCTGTTGTGTTATTACCAATTATATTTCCATATATAACCTTCCATTTATACTCTCATAATTTAAATAGTTCGTTATATAAATACAAATAATATTACTGTAAAGTGAAAGATGAAAGCAAAAATGACTTTGTAATTTTGTATAAATTCCATCTGTAAATCCCTTCATCATCAGATCTCTGTTTGATTAACGCGTTCGTAACTGTGTGCCCACCCCAGGATGCTTCTGAAACCAAGACATAGCAACGAAGGAGACAAAAAAACTGTTTTCAGCATAAACGGAAACCACTTACAAAAAGAGTACTAGAGGCAGTTCTTTACACAAAGGGTTGTGGGAGTCTGGAACAAGCTGCCCAGCTGTATCCTGACTTCCAAACAATCTAGTTCGGCTGAAGCCCCTGCTCTTATTCGCTACCCTTCTTACAGTATGTTGTCATGCTCCAAAATCTAATTAAGGAAATGGCTTGATTTAAAGATTAATGAACATTTCCACCCTCTATAGCACCAGACATCTGCGATACCCACCAGTAGAAGTTCCAGTCTTCGTTTTCAGACACCTGGACCCATCCCCTTTTCTCGAAGTTGTTGATGAGCACTGATTTCTCGATGTCCGTCACCCACTTCACCTTCCCAGCCATGATGCTCTCCTGGCGGGCGTCTGAAAGGCAGGGCATTGCGACACGGGCGCTTTGCATCACTACAGGAATGGCTGCCTTTCTCATTCATCGGACGACTCGACAAGGACAGCCTCTGCGCTTCGTCCCAACACACCGAAACAGAGCAAGATGGAAACCTTCTGTCCCCCCTGCAATCTCCCTCTCAGACAATGTCAAATAACTCTTTATCGCCTGAAGCGCTTGTGGACTGAATTGTGTTGTTGGCGATATTGGTCTGGGGTTTGTATTGTTGAGTTAGACTCAAACAAGCTTCCCTCTGAGGAAATAAGGCTTGAACTGGCAGCAGACAGCTAGAAAATGAAGTCCGGTTCCCCTCTGCATGGGAACTGGGCTTGCACTCGGGGTCTTAGAGACTCGGGCAGAAATAAGTAAAACACACAACAGCGAAGACATGAGTCGAGAGTGCTCTTGAGGAGACGAATAACTTCGTCGATATCAATTTGGTCATTAGAACATGAATAAATATACCAGCAGACCACATGGGTGTGAGTTTTAAAGAGTGAACCAGAGTAAATAAACCGTGAGCCTGTATCTAATACAACACCAGAAATCATTTAGACGTTTTGTGCAGTTAAGCAGACTGGATCTGACACGAGAACTACTGATAAAAAAGCATGGTTATTACAGAATGCATTCTAGCGACACTGAGACGTCTCCCAGAGCATGCACTGACAGGTGTATACTCGATTAGTTCTGTAAATGCCGTACGTAAAAGACGTTTTGCTATTTCACTCAACGCGGACATGCTGGGCACGGAGCGACCGCTGAACCTGGGCATGTCTGCCCAGCACCTTTCACAGTCAGGAGCATCAGAGGCTGGACATTACCCGTTCCTCGGCCGTGCAGCTCGCACTACGGAAGACAGGTCACAGGACGCGACAGGACCAGACAGTGTTTACACCCAGCAGAGCGGAGCCTAGCAAGAGCCGACACTTGGGTCCGGGAAGGAGCGTGTCATCTCCAATGCGCCGAGCGGGCCGTCATCCTGTCAGAGCGCAATATTTCATTGCCTCTCGCCGGTGGGTGGGTGGGTGAGCACTCCCTGCTGCCACCGGCCCCGGTGCATCCACTTCCGGGGAAGGAGCCTAGCAACC